AAGTTATTGTGCTCATTGGATATTCCTGCGCCGGCATCCAAGTTGCAGCCCTCCCCAGTATCTCAAGCACGTATGCTGTTGATAGTTATAAGCCCGTTGCTGGCAGCTTGTTTGTTAGCATCACAGTCAACAAAAATGTCTGGGGTTATGGATTTAGTAAATTCATCACGCCATGGAGTATAAAGGCTGGGTAAGCTATCTCCCCGTTTCTTGATCTGACTGTCACTAATTCCTGTAGATTTATCCCACCTATTATGACTAATGGAAGCTTGGTTTTCCTCTGGTGTCTGTTTGGTGTTGTATTCTACTACTACGGCAAGACATTCCGTCGTTGGACCAAGAACAGTAGTGTCCATAGGCTTTAGTTCTTGAGACATTGAATTTAATCTTTTACATTGGCTGTAATTGCATATGTGTATTTCATGGATGCATTTCCAAGCCTGCCAGGGTTCCTAGGCGAGAATAGTAGGCCTCTAAGCAACCAGGTGACATCGCGCTCGGGTCAATTATCAGCGCAGCACCTGATTGAAGGTAGCAAGCGCAGTGGCTGCAGAAATGTCTAAAATATCGCGAGCTAGCCACTTCTCAGCGCACCAACCTTTCTGGGTACACTTTATGAATTTCCAATTAAGACGTCAAACATCTTCTACAGTATTGTAAGGATCAGATACCGCAATACGCCTACTTCACACTGTATTATTCTCTGCAACTTATGACTCAGAAACACGTCAACGTCAGGTACATTCATTAAGCACTGTCTGTATCAGAACAGTAGTGGAAAGGATCTATCACCAAGAGTCTCAGTATAGAAGCACGGCTTCTCAAACGATATTTAATAAGTTATCACGCGCTTGGCTGTGGGAATTATTAAGCGGTAACGAGAGCTAAATACCTCAAAACCCGTTCTTGGGGGAAGCGCAATTGCTTGAGGGCTTATTAAAAAGGTCCAATCGTTAACTGCAGCTAGCTCAGGTCGTAGAGAACATACATGGGAAGTCTGGTATTCAACCATATAGTATCTATAAGTCTAGTAAGCTCATACACCAAACATAGCTGTTATAAGTTACAACAGAACAGCCTTTGCCCATTCCGAACCAACAATATCCCGAATCTCAGCACAAACACCATCTTTCCATCCTCTCATCACAAAGGTATTATGAATATAACTCTTATCCAAGAAGCAACCATATGAAAATAGCACAAGAGCCGCAGGCCTATGACCTTCGACAAGCGTCATAAAATCCTTTTCAACTAAGCAAATCCATTGTAATGATGCTCGATGTGCCGGGCACCACTCGGATGTCTGCGCCTTTTTGACCAGCCACTTCATCAGATCTAAGGCGTCTTGACAAATTCTCTTGGTGTACGGATCATCTTCTTGGTCAAGAAATGTCAAAGAGTTAAGCATGCTGAGAACGTCATCGAGGGGCCCATGATCTGGTGGTTCGGCCTCAGTGACAAAGAGTATAAGCTCGTGACGATCTGGTCGTATAACACCATATGTTTCCGCAATAGCCCTGACACCTCTCGTGAGCCTACAGGTGACGAGAAGGTCGCTAAGCATGGTAGAAGGCTCATTTTCTACCCGTACAAGCTCTTTGACTGAGCCTTGGGCATAGGAGTTGATCATCATAAGAACTGAGGCAAGATGGCAGACAGGGCCGTTAGTAATATTGGCTTTTGCTACTGCGTGTCTCATCATCCCCGCGGCGGCTTGAGAATACTTGAGTCCCAGAGAGGCGTACATATCCCGTCGTACTCGATCTCCAGGCATCTTGACTTGTGATCGGTGGGCAGTATGCGCTTGTTCGTAAGAGGATATAGCCAGCACGAGGTTCAGGATAAGTGGGTGATCGAGTGCGAGGTGAATTACTTCGTGCTGCCAAAGGTCCTCTGATCCTCGTTGATGCACAATGGCCTTGTGAGCAACAAGGTGCCAGTGAAATAGTAGCTCTCTATCATGCGCAGTCAAGCCAACTGTAGGAAATGGAGCAATTCGTTGAAAATGATTGATGTCGGCGGCTGGTTCCAGATCCAGAGCCTTGCTTCGTGGCGATAGCGTCCTGCTTCGCGATGGCCTTTCTTGGGCTGTAAGGCTACATGTCGAGCTACGGCGAACGCAGGCTGTACATGGAACCGCCTCGTCACACTACAATGGCTGTAAGCGGTTGTTCATCTGTCTAGTGCATATTATTCACTACCTTTACTTTTCTCGCCTTGCACTGCAGACAGCCAGTACGCGTCTTCTTATAGGTCATGGTGAGGATTTTAAATGGAATCAACAGGTGATTACAGCGTAATGTTACTCTAGTTTCCCGTCCTGGGGCGGGCGGTGATAAGGACTTCGGCCCACAGCCCTCAACACCACTGTGGACCTCAGTAACGCGATCACGCAATCTGTCCCTCAGAACGCGTCTTCCACTAACCCCGTCTCGGCAACGTACGTGGCCCAATGCACCAGCATTTCTTCCAAAATTTCAGGCCTCTTCTTCGATAGATCATCTTGTTCAGCCGGATCTTTCTCAACGTCAAATAGCTCCCAATTGTCGCCCCCTTGCTTTGCCAACAAAACTGCCTTCCAATTTCCTCTGCGTATCGCACGATTGCCGAAAAGCTCCCAGCCATGTATATGATCCTCGTCCTGGTGAACGTTTGGATACTCTATAGAAGATGCGAGGTGGCTGACCCATGACCTTCCTCTGGGATTGACAACTTCTCGACCCCTAAACGTTTCTCCTGGGTGCTGCACTTGTGCTAGATCAAGGATGGTAGGCAGTATGTCCATTACGGTTGTAAAGGCGTGGGAAATAGTCTCAGGGGCCGACGAGATTGGAGGAAAGCGTATGAGGCAAGGACAGCGAATGCCGCCCTCGGTTGACCATCCCTTGAACCCCCGAGAAGGCGCAGTGGCAGCACATGCCCATCGAGAGCCATACCAAACATACGAATCGTGATTTCCAATATTCTCGCGACTGTTGTCATAGTGTGCATCTATAAGTTCACCAAGCGTCTTGAATGATGATAAGAGCTAAGTCTGGCAGTCAGCATCAACTTCTGGATTGGTGGATAAGGATGACCAACAGGTGCAGCTTCCAACGTTGATCCCTCTGCACCATTGTCTGACATGAACAAAATGAAAGTGTTGTCCAGTTCACCGGATGCTTCAAGTGCATCCACAACTCTCCCGATGTTCTGGTCAAGGAGGTCAACCATGGCTGCATAAACTTCCATCTTCCTAGCCGACACAGCTCGCTCATGATCAGTGAGGTCTTCCCACTTCACACCGGCTTCGAAACCAACAGGAGGAGCCGCTTCGACATCAGATGGCACAAGACCCAACTCTTTCAGTTTGGCCAGCCTATCTAGTCTCAGCTGGTCGGGTCCATTGTCGTATTTTCCGCCTGGACTCGTCAGTATGGGTGCTTAGACGTATGCGATGGGGAGCTTACTGTATTTATTTATAACATCTTGTGGCGCTTGCATTGGCCAATGCGGTGCCGTGTAAGCTAAGTAGGAGAAGAAGGGCTGCTCCCTTTCCTCTTTGGTTCTGTTGCTTAACATGTCAAGAAGCTTATCTGTAAAGAAGTTGGTAGAGTAAAAGTCTTCAGGTAGGTCTTTCTTTCTATCCACTGGACTCTCATTCTCCATCCAGAATCCATCAGAGGTCAAGAGCATAGTATCTTGGTTGGCCTCGAACTGCGGTTCGTAGTTAAAGTGGTTGCCACAACCAGGCAAAAAGCCAAAACTCTTCTTGAAGCCTCTTGCACTCGGGGACACGTCAGGAGTCATCCCAAGATGCCATTTCCCAGACATGAGGGTTAAGTATCCTGCGTCGGAAAGAATCTCGGGCAGAGCAGCCACTCTCCAGTTGAGGTAGCCTTCGTAGCCAGGCTTGTCAACGTAGTCAGGATACTTTCCGGTGAGGTTTTTCTTCATCTCGGCGAATTCTGCCATCTGGCCAAGCCCGGCAATATGGTTGTCTGTACCAGAAAGAAGCATTGCTCGTGTAGGTGAGCATGCCTGAGCAGTATGGAAGTTGGTCATGCGTGTGCCATCTTTGGAGAGGCGGTCCAAGACAGGTGTGTCTATCTCGGAGCCATATGGCTTTGTATCACTGAAGCCAAGATCATCGGCGACGATGATAAGAAAATTTGGTCTTTTCGCAACAACCATAATTGTAGTATAGAGTGTAAGGAGTTTTAAGGACGGAGAGGGACTGGTATGGGCTCGACCATGAGGTCAGAAGGAGGAGGTATTTTATATATGTAAACAACCACGCGCATCACCACTCGTATCATAGCCGTAGCAATAACCTGCCGAAACCCGGCATGTATTCACCTTGAGATATCTGTCAGCGAGAATGCAGCGTTTGGTTGTAAATGCAAAGCTCCATTTCTGTCAGGACGGCGTCCCCACTCACTAACTAACTCCAACTTTTAGTGTGCCTCGGATGATGCTACCATTGGTCCCAGATTCAATATTTCCAAGCACGCAAGATTCACATGTCGATGGCGTTTGACAGATCGAAGCTAGCCCTTGTTGATGGTAACGCTAAGCAAGCCAAAAAGACCGGGCTGTCGCTCGGATCATGGCTTCATTGGTGTGTTCGATTCGACAACGCAGCGACTTCCATTATTGCCAGGTAATACAGATTGCTCTATTCAGCTGCTTTGTGAGTTCACGAAGATGTGAGTGCGATAGATTGGACCTTCGAGTATTGCGAAATGCCGCGTCTTGATGGCGAGATATTAGGGAGGTTTGTTGCAAGAATTATTTATTATGAGCTGTTTGCCATGTGCCGTAAATGCTTCATCAACACCTACCTTGTTCTCTCAATCAAACCCTCAGACATGATGATCGAAAAGGAACCACTTCCATCCACAGTGGATGACTACAGTTCGAGTCGAGACAATGACTCCAATAGCCCTGACCAGCGGCGTTCCATTGACTGGTCCGAGACGGAAGAACGGGCTCTCGTTCGCAAGCTCGACCTTCTTATCATGCCTCTGCTCATCGCAGGCTTCTTCGTTTTGCAGCTCGACCGCGGAAACATCGGCAATGCCCTCACAGACTTCTTCCTCCCCGAAGTGGGCATCACTCAATTCCAGTTCAATATTGGAAATCAGCTCCTCAGCCTGGGAATCGTATTGCTAGAGCTGCCGAGCAACCTCGTTCTCTATCGCTTGGGTCCTCAAAAGTGGATTAGCTGTCAAATCCTTTGCTGGGGCTTGGTCGCTACCTTGCAAGCATTCATCAAAGGAAAAGGTGTTGGCGCATATTATGCTACTAGACTGTTACTCGGCCTTTTGGAAGCCGGTTTCATTCCTGCTGGTTTGTACACTCTGACGCAGTGGTACAAACGCAACGAGACTAGTAGACGCTTTACCGCCTTCTTCCTTGGTAATATGATTGCTTCGGCGGCCAGTGGTCTCATTGCCTATGGTATCCTTCAGATGAGAGGTATATCCGGTCTTTCTGGCTGGCAGTGGATGTTCCTTCTTGAGGGGATCATCACAATAGTTATCGGTATTATTTTCGCCTTCCTCATGCCGAACTCTCCTGCGAACCCGTCAAATATCTTTGGTCACCTGTACTTCACTCCAAGAGAAATTCACATCCTTACCAACCGTGTTATCATTGACAATCCTACCCAAGGCTCAAGACACAAATATGTCAAGTGGGTGGACATCAAGTCCGCGTTCTCCAGGTGGTGTATTTACCCGCAGCTGACTGTTAGCTTCTGCTGCATCGCCATTATCTCGCCACTCGGAACATACCAGCCTTCCATCATTGCAAGCTACGGCTATGATCGCCTTCAAGCAAACGCACTGTCATCTGTTGGCGGCTGGATTGTCATCGCGCTCAATCTGTCATTTGGATGGATTGCAGACAAAACCCAGAGACGAGGTCTCCTAGTTCTTCTCGCCACTATCCTGAGTTTCGCATTCTGTCTCGCTACTAGACAACTGGCCACAAGCACGAATCGCGATCTCAAATATGGCATCCTTACCTGCACAACACTCTGGGGATCCGCCGCCCATCCTTTGAATGGTTCCTGGCTTGCCGTCAACATTCGGAATCCTGCAGAACGGTCCATCACCATGGCTCTCCTTATTATGACTGCCAACGCAGCTGGTTTGGCAGGTGCTCAAATCTTCCAAGCACATGATGCGCCGCTCTACAGAACAGGGTTCACGGTCATTCTCACCCTAGCATCTATTGCCCTGGTATTTGCCATTGTGTCCAATACGCAGTATCTATGGCTCAACAAGAAACTTGCGGCTAAGACACAGTCAGAAGACGGTCATGTTGAAGCGGCAGCTGAAGGAGATAAATGGCGGTTCTCGCTTTAAAGTGATATTATATACAACAGGAGATTATATTTAGGCTAGAATTAAGGCGGATGTAGGCGCGGGAGGTATAAGTTAGGAGGTCTAAATCTAATACGAGGCTTAATTAACCTTCTCAAGAACTTCCCTCATGACCCTTGGAATAAGTCCGGTTGCGTTACCTTCCCCATCAACCTCAAATTCGAAATCATCAACCCCAATGTTGCCATAGGTCAATGAGTCAACTCCCCCCCATGACAAGCACCCGCCACTAAAAGGACCAGAGCTAGCATCTGTCTCATTGGTTTCAGCCTCTTCTGTGGAGTCATTCACGGCTTGGGCTTCCAAGACAGCTCTGAAAGACATTCTCCTATTTCCTTCCAATCCCATTGGGTATAGCCTGAGCACTGGTGTCACATCTAATCCAGGCCACGTAAGCGCGGCTTGCGTGGCTATCACGTCGACATCACCTCGGGTCCAGTTCCGTACCACGAGAGTATCGTCCATAGTGACCATCAGCTGACTCTTGGGGCCCTTGAAAGTTCCAGCAAAACGCTTGACGGCGTCATGACGGGCCGCGTTCTCGGCTGCTGGCAGCAGTGTTTGCACGAGGAGGTCAGGAATGCAGCTCAATAGATATGCACGGTTAGCTCCTGCCATCAGCGCCACGAAACCAATACCGTGGTCAGGTGAAAGGACGATAATCGCAGTGTAAAGTCCAATGGCGCCGTTTTTCGTGTAAAGATCAACAATTCGGGTTCCGCTGCGGCCGAGGGGGACGTATGTGCGCCGAATCTCCCAAGGCATACCAACAGACATGTGAATGTCCGCGGTATGAGAGATGGGTTTCATCCAAGACCGAGTTTCAGAGGGGCTGAGTATAGAAGAGCCGAGGATAGATTGACCAAGGCGTGTGAGGTCTGCAGGTGTAGAGAACATGCCTCCATAACTATGTATGGTTAATGAAACCGAGCTGTGTAATTAGGGTAACTGCACCCACGGACTACCATCTGCTGTGGTAATGTTCCACCACGAGAGTTGCTCATTCTCGGGGACCATAGCGTTGTCCTTGCTCTTAGGTGCCTCGAGGCTTGTACGCCTCATGGACAGAGGATTGAGGAGCGATGATTGAAAGGACTTGCTGAATGGCTTTCCAGTCATACCCTCGAGAGCATAGGCAAGGATTTGGTACGCGACGTTGGAGTACACCGGGGTGTTCGCAGTGGATGTGATAGGGAAGAAGCTTTGGGTCATGATGCCCTGGAAGAACTCTGTCGGCTAGATATCAGCAAACGTGATCAATAAGCTGGGTAAAGATATGAACCTTTGCGGGAGCAGGGCTTCAGAGATGGGTCTGAGACACTGCAGTGTGGTCTTTCCTTCTTGTTCAGGATTGGGAGACCATATAACTCAGGACTCTGGTGAGTTGACTCAATGATGGAGCTCATATCGAAGAATCCGACTACACGCTGGTATTAGATGAATCGATTTTGCCTCTACTCAGGGAGGTACTCACAGTTTCGGCTGATGCCGGCCATATGGCCAGCAAGCTGCCCAATAGTAACCTCGTCCCATTGTACCTTGCGGGTGGGGTCGCCTTTGTTATTCCTGGCCGCAAGAGCGAGCTCAGGCACCCACTTCGTCACCGGATCATTCATGTGCTTTATCCCAACCTCGGCGAGTAGTGTATAGACAGTAAGAAGCTTCGAAACACTGCCCACACGGAACACAGTATCCTCGTTGAGGCTCCCTGAAGTTAAGAAGCCTTTCATGGAGGACGGGACGTATCCATGCTGGAAGAGAGTATCCGAAGCAGAGAAGGCTTGGACGTAGAAGGTAGTGTTGAAACCCTCTAGAGTGCCATTGCGGTCAATCTTTTTGAAGGTGGCGTTGAGCTGGGCAATTGTGTCTGAGAAATCACCAGACTTGAGTGGATGCTGGACAGGCGGAAAGATGGCACCTAGGAGAGGGCATGGAGTCTCTTGAGTATTGGCCTGTTGTGGCAGGACAGCAAGACCTAGAGAAAGGGCAAGAGTAAGATAATTCATGATGGGAGTGGAAGAAAGCTTAGAGAGAGAACGAGAGACGAAGAAATAATACTTTGTAGAAAGGGTAACGTCCTCAACTTTATAGAATAAGGCTCATGGGTACGGTCAATGGACACACGTGTAGACGTATGGGAACTCGATTACATCAAGGCAACAACAGACATGATTTGGCAGCGACCATCTGAGTGGCCGGCTCGCTCAAGACATCGCCACCTGAGCTCGTGTAGTTGTAATGAGATTTCGTTAATGAAGACGGTATGTACAGACAAATGAGCATCCGACTCTCTTGAACTTGCGTTGTGATTGGCCGGGTCGTTCAATCTAGCCTTGGCAATTTAGGGCCCATTGCTTGGCCGTGTTAGTACTAATTTAGCATAGATCGTCTCATCTTATCCATCTTGAGAAAGGTCATCCTGCCGGGAGATCGATAATCCGAGGATTAGTGCTTAGAACTTCTCAATACCAAATTTCACTTATCGGCAGCGACCTGTTTGGCATTAAATGATTACACTACCTATTCCATCGTAAATACTTCAGTATAAATAGCTCACCTTGAAAAATTGCTTGGGTTGTTAAGTAATGGTCCAATTGGTCCGCTCGCTTTACCCCAAAAACCTCCACAAACGAGAGACTACATAGGCCGCGTGCGCCATGGTCGACGTTTTGTCCAAAGTGGCCACAGTTGGTGCAAGTCGACCACGGCGGGCATATCATCGCAAAGTCAAGACAGGCTGTCAGACTTGTAGGTCAGTTCAGACGTCTCACATAAGCCCTGTCTCTAGCATGGCGTGCATCTCTTCCCTCAAGGCCAAGCACTCTGACGCACTGACTCCACCAGGATTCGCAGGGTGAAGTGCGACCAAGGCAAGCCTGTCTGTGTGCGCTGCACATCCACCGGCCGCACATGTGACGGGTACGATCCTCCGCCTTCATCATCATTCTATTCATCTTCAACCTTCACATCACCTTCCTCCAATTCCATCGACGCTTGCGCTGATCTCAAGCTCATCCTGCCACGCCAGAGTCCCCAAGAGGTACGAAGCTATCGCTTTTTCCTTGAAGTCACGGCGCCATCCCTTGCGGGTGCTTTTTACACCGACTTCTGGCTTGCTGAGGTGCCGCGCGTCTGCATGTCCGACGCGGCCATCTGGCATGCCGTCGTCAGCCTTGGTTCTGCTCACGAGGACTTTGCAGAACATGGCCAGGGATCACGGAGCGTGTTTGCTCTGGAGCAGTTCAATGCGGCCATCCGCTCTCTCACTGACTCAAGGTCTCCGAGGTATGAAGATCGGTGGAGAGCGCTTATTGTCAGCACGATATTTACATATGTATGCACCATCAAGGGACTCCACGAGCAAACGCGACTCCATCTACAAGCTGGATGCAATCTCCTCCACGATCTTCAACATGTCGCCACAACACGAAGGACAATTTTGAAAGAGATGCAGCTTCAGAAGGTCATCCAAGATGAGGGTTGGATCTCGTCCGTTCCGGTATCAACTGCCCCAATACAGTCAATTCTGGTCTCCCTTGAGCTTCAGTTACATGCGCTTGACCACGGCGGTATGACTGAGAGCCCCAACTTACTCCTGCAAAGCAAACCGCTTAACACATGGCGCTACTACGCAGCACCGCGGCCTTCGCACCGCCTGACTCCTGACACTGTCAATCAAGCACACTGCGCTGCTGAGTCTCTGTTCAGTGGACTGATCTTATTCTCTCAAGAACATGCCAGGCAGCTCGGGGATATCCAAACGGGCAAGTCCGGACCGGCAGGATTATCACTGCTGGCTGCGAAACAGGGGTCACATACGCGATGCTATAAAGAAATAAGTAAAGCTATCAATGTCTTTGAGAATAAGATAGCAAGAAGCAACAATACTCCAGGGCATGAGAAACAACGAGAGCTGCATACGCTACTCCCCTTGCACCTCTTCCAAGCCGCCAATCGCCTCCTCCTGATCCAGGATCCAGATGACCATGAGCCGATCAAGCGTGAAGCTGATCTCCCTGCCTTGTACAGTTCTATCGTCGACCTCGTCGAGCGGATCATGAACCTTGATCCTGCCAAGACCCGTAGGATAACCTATACCCAGCACCTCTTCCTTGTCGCCCATAGTGGTATTGGACAGTCAACCCGCCGCCGTGCTGTGGCATTGCTTCGGCGTCCGCGACTCGAGGGTGGTTGGGATAGCCTTATTTCTGCAAGCCTTGCAGAAGCAATCATGGACAGGGAGAGGGAGGCGGCTTGGGAATACCAAATGGAACAACTTTTAGATGCTGCAACTACAGGAGGACAAAGGGAGAAAAAGGGGTACGTGGAGGAGGAAGAGCGGGAGGAAGTCAACCCAATGTTTCGTATATTCAATATTACATTTGTATTTACCGGACCGAGAGAGGCACGTGTGGTGCTCAGGACATGGCGAGAGAAGCTCGAAGATATTGCTGGACGGACGAGGGCTATACGATGGTAATGATGTATAAATTGAGCCTTGAAAAGGCTACTAATAAACTTTGAAGACCTGCCCCCCCTCCCCAAAGCGGTCACGTTTCCATACTACCGAAACGACTGGCATCCGAACCTAACTAGCCAGCTTTGGCGTCGAAAGCAATAGGTTAAAAGTCGATGGCTGGCAAACTACCTCGCCTCGCGATGTATAACGGCTGTAATCTCGTCCCCCGCAGCAACAAACCCATCTAGGCTTCTTTTGCTCCCAAGTCGGCAGTGACACCTGCGCCCTCCTTGATGAAGACCTCGTGCTTCTGCTTGGAGGTTTTGACAGGATTGGGAGACTTGAAAATCTCATCGATTTCCTCCAGAGACCGGCCCTTGGTTTCGACGAGGGCGAAATACATCATTCCCCACTCCACAAAATGCAGGATGAGGAAAATAGTGTATGTCTTCCAGCCGATCTTCTGAAGAGCGACTGGCGTGGCATATGTATTGATGAAGCCTGAAACACCACTGAAGAAGCC